TTTCCCTTCCCTTCCCTCCCTCCCTCCTTTTCCTTCCTTTCCCTCCCTCCCTTCATCCCTCCCTCCCTCCTTTCCCTTCCCTTCCCTCCCTCCCTGCCTCCCTCCCTCCCTCTCTCCCTCTCTCCCTTCCTTCCTTCCTTTCTTCCTTCCTTCCTTCCTTCCTTCCTTCCTTCCTTCCTTCCTTCCTTCTTTCCTTGATGTTATTGCTAAGGCTTGAACTCAGTACCTGGGCACTGTCCTTGAAGCCTTTTTGCTCAAGGCTGGCATTCTATCACTTGAGCCATAGCTCCACTTCTGGTTTTTGGTGGTTAATTGGATATAAGAGTCTCACAGATTTTCCTTCTAGGATTGGCCTCAAACCACAATCTCTTTCTGAGTAGCTGGAATTACAGGTGTGAGCCACCAATGCCTAGGCCATACACCAATTCATTTTATGATCACACTGATAGGGTTATCTTATCTCCATGTCCTCATCACTTCCCCCCTTCAGATCCTCTGCCCACAAAAGTTCGTCATCCAGCTCTGGTCTTGGCCCCTCAATGGAGGTAATACACAAGAGCATGGCCAACAAATAGGGTAGTCATTGAATGACAAGATTTGTTAGTAGTTATGTGCCCTAAAATTTGTTCCTGTTGATTTCCATTGTGAATTAGTATAAACATAGTTATCATGTTACCTTTTTTCTACCCAGGTTTTGAAAACCCGGCTAGCAGTTGGCAAAACTGGGCAATATTATGGAATATATGATTGTGCCAAGAAGATTCTGAAACGTGAAGGCATTGGGGCTTTTTACAAAGGTTATGTTCCCAATTTGCTAGGCATCATACCTTATGCAGGCATTGATCTTGCTGTGTATGAGGTGAGTTTGTCGCAGTACTGATGTAGTTCTAAGGCATGCATTCTTAGCTCTCTATAAAAATGCACATACTATGTTTAAGAGACCTTGGGTGTGAGATCCTTCCTTCTTTTTGTCCTCTCCTCTACTTTGCCCTCCCTCCTCTCCTCTGGCCCTTTCTTTAATTTGAATGAACATATATTTGAGTTTGAATTGATATACATCTATGACATCAAAGAATGTTACTGTGACAATTTTATACATGAATGCATTCTACTTTTTTTTTTGTTTTGGTGCTAGTTGTGGGGCTTGAACTCAGGGTATGGGCAGTGTCCCTGAGCTATTTTGATTAAGGCTAGAGCTCTACCACTGAGCTAAAGCTCCACTTCCAACTCTTTTTTTTTTTCCTTTTTGGAAGTTAAGTGGAGATAAGAGGACTTTCATGCCTCTTCTGGCTTTGAACTGCAATCCTCAGATCTCAGCCTCTTGACTAGGATTGCAGGCTGAGGTACCAGTTCCTGGCTTACATTCTACTTTGAACAAGCCCTTTCTCTTTCGAGGGATGTTTATTTCCACCTTGAAGAAGGCAGAAAAACAATGCCACATTTTTTGTTTAAATTGGTAGCTAAGTGATTAATGTAACTACTGGACAGACAAATCAAAACACACATCTCAGATTGATCCTGCCATAGAAGTTATTTAATATTTTATGAGTCTGATGAGCATTTACAGAGCACATCCTGTTCACAAGCCCCTGGGTGATATACTAGAGCTAGGGTTTGGAAGAAAGACTCAAACTGAAGGCTTGAGCTGGGCACAGAGGTAGAAAGATCAAGACTTTGAGGCCAGTTTTTCCTATGTAGTGAGTTCTAGGCCATCCTCATCTACATAATGAGACTGTGTCTCAATTGAGCAAGGGCAGGGTATTTGCCTAACATGCACAAAGCCCTGGTTTGACTTCTAGTACCTCAGAAAGAAAGATAGAGGAAGAAAAAGAGTAAGAGAGAAGAAGGAAAGGAAGGGAAAGGAAGGAAAAACTGGACATGTGATGGGGAGCTGGACGACAAAAACTACAGCAGTATGGTCAGATGTGCATGATAAACGTAAGCCAGGACACATGTTGAGGAATACAATTTATAACTCAGGGGAAGAAGGAATGTATAATGAATACTTTCTTAAACATAGAGCTTGATTGAGATAAAATGCATATCCCAAGTCAGCCTACTTAAAGCATACAGTTCAACATATCAGTGGCTTTTTGGCATATCACAATTTGCACATTTGGCATATCACAAATTATGGTAAAATAGAATATAAAATTGCCATTTTAGTGTATCATTAAACAGCATTAGTCATATTCATAATTTGTGCAGTTTTCACCAAGCTAGAATTGCAAAATGTTTTTGTCAGCTCGAAAAGTTCAAACAGAAACTTTTAAACCAGTGGGCAGTCACTCCATTTCCTCTCACCCCTTTATAACCTCCAATTTACTTCCTGTTTCTATGAATTTAGATTGATCTGATGTTTCATAAGTGGAATCATATGTTATTGGTATTTTGTGTCTGACTCACTTCACTTAAGACCTTAATAATACCTTCAGGATTTATTCATGTCCTGGCAGGTATGAGATCTTCATTCCGTCTATTGGCAGAGCACTCTTTCATGGTGTGTCTATACTGTTGTGTGACTCATAATGATATTTAGGTCAGGGAGGGACCACATAGATGAGGGCGATTACAGTGGAACTAAAATTTTCTTGTTGCCTAGTGATAAATACCTTTGCATCACTGTTGCAAGGTGCTACTCAGATTCGTGTGAGGCTTGTGGTATAAATGAATTGACTGTGCTGCCAGGTGTGTGAATGTTTTAATGGCTGTGCATAAGACTGGATAACATTGACAGAGAAGGCTGGGTTGCTGATTTGCACTGATTGACCATGCTAGTCTATTTATAGTTAGAGTGCATCTCTTCTACCCATATGAAAACCATTGCTGAGTCTCCTGATCATCTCTTCTTGGATTGTTTAATCTGTTGTCTTGTGTGTGTGTGTGAATTTAAAAATTACCATTTAAATCATTTAAGTGTACCCTTGAGACCTGGAGGATAATGTTTTGAGACCAGCCTCAGAAAGAGCCTGACAGTCTTCATCTCCAAAAATAACAGCAAAGAGTCAGGCTAGTGGTGTGGCTCAATTGGTAGAGCACCCAACCTTCCTGTCTCTGTTTCCTTTTTGTAGCTAGGATTACAGTAGTCTACCACCATGCTTATTTATTGAGAAAGGATCTTGCTTTTTTTTTTTTTTTGGCTTGGCCTGGTCTTGAACTACTATTCTCCTAATTTCTTTCTGGTATGTAGAGAAATGTTGTTTATATCTTAGAACATTTTGTGTGCTGTTGATCTCCATGTTTGTTCGGAAGAAAATGAGCACCCAGTGCAGATCTCTTGTGTTTTGAATCCCTGCTTTTCTCACCAGAGCTGTTGCTGACAACCTGACGCCCCAATGCGCAAAGCAAGTGACCCTTCTTTGTTGAAGACAAGACTCGCTGTGAGAATGTTTGTATTAAGTGGAAGCAGCTAGTTATTGATAATTTTTCTTCTTGTTTCTTTTTTTTGGCAGCTCTTGAAGTCATACTGGCTGGATAATTTTGCAGAAGACTCTGTCAACCCAGGGGTCATGGTGTTGCTGAGCTGTGGGGCCTTGTCCAGTACCTGTGGGCAGCTGGCCAGCTATCCTTTGTCTCTGGTGAGGACTCGAATGCAGGCTCAAGGTGAGGTTTTGGCTAAAGGATGGCACTGATAACAGGGCTGTGTCAATCATGTACTTTTTTTTTTTTTTGCCAGTCCTGGGGCTTGAACTCAGGGCCTGGCACTGTCCCTGAGCTGCTTCTGTTTAAGGCTAGTGTTTTACCACTTGGGCCACAGGGCCACTTCTAGCCTTTTATGAGTAGTTTGTTGGAGATGAGAATCTCACAGACTTTGGTGCCCAGGCTGGCTTCCAACTGCTATCCTCAGGTCTCAGCTTCCTGAGTAGCTAGGAAGACAAGTGTGAGCCACTAGTGCACAGCTGTTTTATTATTTTTTTTAATGGAAGAATTTTCAAGCCCTCTCTAAGATTTCTAATTTTTAGAAATTCATTTTCTAAATCTTCCTTTTCCAAAGCCATGGATATAGTGCATGTGCATGCATGATTTATATAGAAGCAGAATGATGTTTTGTGTGTGTGTGTGTGTGTGTGTGTAATAAAAGTATATAAAGTTTGGTATCCCTTTTGCTTTTTTTTTTCCTTACTGGAGCTCTCAATCTCATTTGGCTTTTTTGCTCAAGGCAGCTGTTCTACCACTTGAGTCCCATTTTCCATTTTTAGCTTTTTGCGGATTAATTAGATTGAAGTCTTTTCTGCCCAAGCTGGCTTTGAACTTTGTTGCTAAGCTCTCATCCTTCTGAGTAGCTATAATTATAGCTGGAAGCTACTGCTTCCTGGCTAGGTTTGATAAGTAGATGGGTTTTGGGGGTAGGCTCTTGCCCCAACTCTGGGTTTTCATTTTCTTCTGTGAATGGTAATGAAAGGACCTATCAAAAGTGTAAGTAAAGCACATGTACTTTTTAAATTCTCAAGAAGTGATGGCTGGAGTTGCTGTTAGTGTGCTTGATCTGGGTCTCCTCCTTCACTGGCTTAAATGATACTGTGCTGCTAGCCTGATTCTTTTGCCATCACATTGATTATTCTCTTGTTACCGCTGCTGACTTTTAATGCTGTTCCATTCATGCATTCTAATGTGTTTCTTTTCCTTTTTCCCCCTTTTCCCTGGTCAGTTTCACTCACTGTTGTTCATTCCTTTTGTTTTTATTTTTCACTTATAATTTTAAATTCTCTTTAGTTATACAAAAGGGTTTCACTTCAACATGTCAGTATGTGAGTAAAATGCATCTTGATCAATATTACCTCTTCTGTCAGTCTCCCCCATCTTTCCCGCATTCCATGTATGTATGTATGTATGTATATGTGTGTGTATGTATGTATGTGTGTGTATGTATGTATATGTATGTATATGTATGTATGTGTGTATGTGTGTATGTGTGTATGTATGTATGTATATTTGGACAGTCCTGCACCTTGAACTCCAGGCCTGGGTTCTGTCTCCCGAACTTTTTCTTTTGCTCAAAGCTAGCGCTCTACTGCTAGAACTTCAGTCCCACAGAGCTACAGCTCTGGCTTTTTTGGTAATTTATCAGAGATAGGAGTTTCATGGATTTTTCTGCCCAGTGTGGCTTCAAACCGTGATCTTCAAATCTTAGCTTCCTGAATAGGTAGAATTACAGGTGTGAACCACAGGAGGCTAGCTCTTTCCTTTTAATAGTAAATGCTCTGCATCTGTGGCTCCACCTTCAATCTGTCTTCCAGATGTACCCATCCCTCCTTTGACCAAGTGTTTGTCCACTAATTACTCCTAATTTTTGAGCCTGGACTCTAGGCACTCTGCCAGATGCCATCAGAGCACTCAACAGCTGGTAGAGAAGGCATAGCAAGTAAACACACACATCAAACCACCTCCTGTTCGTTAGGAGAGTTCAAAACAAGGCTCTTCCCTAACTCTAGCTGGAACTAGGAAAACAAATATGAGCGAGATGAGCACAGGAAGGAAAAGTGGGTCAAGACAAAAGTATTTCAGCCATCCTGGTGGCTCACACCTAATTTAGCTACACAGGAGGCTGAGATCTGAGGATCATGGTTTGAAGCCAGCCTGGGCAGGAAAGTCTGTGAGACTTTTATCTCCAGTGAACAAAAAAAAGAAGCTAGAAATGAAGCTGTGGCTCAAGTACTAGAGTGCTAGCCTTGAGCTAAAAAGCTAAGGGACAATTCACAAGCCCTGAGTTCAAGCCCCAAGACTGGCTCACCCAGGAAAAAAGAGAGAAAAGAAATGAATAGAAAAAGCATTTCAGCCTGAGGAAACACATGTGGAAAAAAGGCACTGGGGCAGAATAACGCAAGACAGTCATGGCTGCACAGGAAGGTGCCAAGTAGCAAACTAAATGTCACATGTGTATTCTCTCGCCATAACCATTTTAAGGAACCCAATAGTAATATTGTTCACACTTGGCAGGGGAGTAACTGGTGCAGAGGGAGATTAAGAATTTGCACCAGGTTATAAGCATTTGGAAAGTAGTGGAGCTAGGAGTTGATGGCAGGCAGTCTGACTCAAACGTTATGAGCCAGGTGAGTCCTTCTCTCTAGTCTGCAAGTTCTAGTCCCGGTCTTGGCATGGCCACCAGATTTGTCATTGGTTAAGTCAAGTTCTGATCAGTGTGTGTGTGAGTGTGTGTGTGTGTGTGTGTGTGTGTGTGTGTGTGTGTGTGTGTGTGTGTCCTACCCTGAGTGCTGTCCTAGAGTTTCAGGGGCTTTTCTGCCTCCTTACTAGCTAGGATTACAGGCAGGAGCCACCAGTACCTGGCTGGCCTGATTATTTTATATCCACTCAGACGTCTCTCTCTCTCTGTCACTCCTCAGTGTCTTCAAAGTAAATTCCAAAGCCCACTTCAGATTGGCTCCATCTCCATTTCTCCACCCCTAACGGTACGACCCCACAGCAGCCTCTTGGTGGTCCTTGTCCAAAAGTCACCAGGTCCCCTTGCTGTGTGGGGTTCCTGCCCTTGACTGTGTGTTGCCAGTGACACAGGCCTCCCCTTGCCTACTGAGATCGTCGAGAAGGCCCAGGTCCCCAGAACGTTTTCTAAGATTCCCAAAGTGTCCCCTCACTTCCCCTGAGTCCCAGCATTGAACTGCTCTTCCTTATGTGCTTGGTGTGGTAAGGGAGGAGGCAGGGAGAGCTATGGTGAGTTATGGTCTCAGAGTCTGGGGGCCGTGAGCTCTTGGCTCTACCACCTGCTAACTGAAGGTTTTAGGATCGCTCCAAGCCTCTAATTTCTCAGTCATTAAATGAAGCCATTTACTTTGTAGGGCTAGCATGGAAAGTAATTAACTCAGTATCAAGCACATGGTAATTACTCAATAAAGAATAGATCAAGATGTGATACAGAATCTGCTTGGTTAAATGGCAAAAAAAAATTCAATACATAACCTACAAATTAAGAAAAGCAAGGGAAGAGGAGGGATGGAAGGCTGGGGGGGGTGTGTGTGAGAATGTTGATTGATCAAGATGCACTGCAGTTAGGACCTGCTTTGCTGAATGCAGATTCTTTTGTACAACTACTTAAAATAATAACATACTTTTAAAAAGATAAAAAAGCTAATAAAACAAAAAATTGTGATGACTATTATCATTATTATAGGTAGAGAACTCCCTCTTCAGTGATCTTTAAAGGGTATTTTCTTGGTTCCCTTGGGATGCACTTTATCCTTGCATTGCATTTTGAACATCATTTTGGAATATGAGTTGTTTATTATAACGCTTATCTCACATGCTTGAGTATTGAATTAGCCTTTAAAAATACGTGTATGTGTATATTTCTAGCCATGGTGGAAGAAACCGAGCAGTTGAGCATGATGGGCCTCTTTCGCCGAATCATTTCCAAAGAAGGCGTGCCAGGGCTCTATAGGGGCATTACCCCAAACTTCATGAAGGTGCTTCCTGCCGTAGGCATCAGTTACGTGGTATATGAAAACATGAAGCAGACGTTAGGCGTCACCCAGAAATGACAAGTTGAAATTTCTGCTTTGGCACGACGAGTGGAAACTTCCACATTCTCTGCACTGACTTCGAGAACTGCAGCAAGACCAGGATCAAAGCAGCTGCGTATTATTTTCTTTTGTACAAAAGGGAAGTGTCTTATTAGCGATCATTTCAAAACATTTGGGCTCAATTTTATATACTCAGCAATTTTTTAAAATCATAGTTTTATATATACGTTTTGGAAAAAACCCCACAAAACTTCACTTTTCCGATGAGTCCTTCTATAGATTAGAGCCCGGAAGTATAAACCTGAAAATGTACTCGAGTAAACTGTATTTGTTTTGTGTGGTAGAATTATCATTCACTGATCTCTATATTCTGGTTGGTTCAAATTTATGCCAATTCTTTGATATACAAATGTCTTTTTTAAAGATTAGCACAATGATCAGAAAATCTTGAGAGTGAACTTATTTTATACATTTTAAATGTCTTAATAGACTTCTTAAAATTTCCTCAGAGAACCACTAATTGAAAATCAGTGTATTTAAATATACTTTATAACAGCTATGTAAGTATAAAGTTTATATTCTTGTCTTTCTATAAGCAGAGCAGGGACGGACACAAGGGCAAATTTATACAGAGCAACAATGAGATAATATTTATTTCAATGTAGTCATTTTTCCTTTTTACTTCCATTATTATTTGGTTCCTGGAGCTGAACACTGATGGCCTTATATTAGTGTTAAATGATCAGCATGAGAAAACTTAAGTGTAAGATTCTGTTATTCTGCCATTGCTTGGAAACGTTTTGCTTGAAGCAAACCTCTTTTACTTGCACCTGTGTTGGAATTACATCCTTTCGTTAGTCCTTCATTTCCTACTTTTTGAATCAGATTCTGTTTTAATCAAGAAGGCTTCTTGGGACCATTTGTTGTCATCTGAACTTCCTCTCCTACTGACATGAAGTGTTGATCATGGGTGAATGGTACACTGATTTCTTCTTCCTTGCTGAATTTTTTCGAACCTTCCATTCTGGATTTGAGCAGCAGAAAGCTGAGAAAAGTACATATCAATAGTAATAATACTAGTCCTATACATTAAATACCTATATTTAAATGTGTAAATCATACATTATCCACATTTTCACTTGTCTCAAGTTTTAGGGACACAATAGAATCTTTAATTTATAATAGTGGTAGCATTCATAAGCCTTTTTTGTGGTCAACTCTTTTTCTTTTCTAATTTGAGTGCTTAGTACTTAGGAAGATATTTATTAATTGGAGTTGTTTTTTTTAAATTGGTTTGCAGACTCATTTGATCTTTTTTTATAGATGGCCAACATTTTCATGAAATTCTAGTCACATAATAGGCACTTGCTTCTTTTGAACCTACCTCTTTTTATTTCAAAAGTGAAATAAACAGAAAAGATAGTTGTGTGAACCATATTCTATTACATAGTTTTGTCTAAGTAATACATTACTTATGCTCAATACATGTCTCAAAACTTTTATACAAGATTTGATAAACCTGAGACTCTATCTTCAGGATTATTTGTAATTTTGGGGATAAAACACATAAAATGACAATATTAAAGTACATGATTAGTGCTTTCGTTTTTGTAACTCATAAAATTATGGGAAATAATAATTGTGCCAACATTGTTTTTTTAATTTCAAGCTGGTGAAAACTATGGAAACTATTTGCACTTCATTATGAACTGAAATTGTTCCTCATAGGTATGAATGTGATTTCACTGTGCCTCTTGTTATCTTTTGAAAAAAAATCATCTTGTATCTTTTGGAAAGAGAAAAGCTTCAAGTTGAAGATAGCTTATTTCTTGCATGATTGCATATTTACTTCTCTTTTATATTAAAATATTTGTTTGTAAAATGACTTGTTTCTTCATTGTGAGAAAAACTTACTAATCCCACAAACGCTAGGTCCCACCGTATTAACTAGAGTTGGCAGCCAGAAATCCAAGCATGGGACTTTCTCACCCCATGTTGGTGTGTAGAGTATATTTGTGTTGAAACTGTGAGAATTTACTGGTAAGTCAAATTTGTAAAAGAAATTATTTTTTTCTATGGTCAAGAGACCATAGAAGGGGCTGGGAAGGTGGCTCAGTGGTAGAGTGCTTGCCTTGCATGCCTGAGGCCCTGGGTTCGATTCCTCAGCACCATATAAGCAAAAAGAAAAAAGCTGGAAGTGGCGCTGTGGCTCAAGTGGTAGAGGCCCAGAGTTCAGGCCCCACAACCGCTCTCCCTTCCCCCAAATAAAAAAAGACCATAGAAAAAGTCTTGGCGCAACTTCAGGACTTTTCACACCCTGTAGAGTGCTCTCAGCCCCTCTGATACTTGGAAAATGCTGCCAGATTTGTTTCTTGACTCTTAGTTTTGTCTTCCTGCCAAGAAAGTGGAGCTTCACCACGACAGGGGTTGTGCTGATGTCATTTGTTCTTGGAGCTTCCCATGGAGTTGCATGTATAACCAACCATGTGGCATGCTTTTCTTCTCCAGACACACATTTTGCCAGCCCTTCAGTCAGCAAGTTTCCGGAGAAAAGCACCCCAGAAGAGCAGCACTATTAGTGGTGAAGAATGGCCCTGTCCTTTGCTTCCATGTATGGGGATGGCTGGGGGGTGGCAGGATCATCTGAGGGAGAAGGTAGTGTGATGCTCTGCCACAGGACACAGCAGGGTTGAACGTGGTAAGCACCATCTTGGTGCTTACCCATTCCAGCACTCATTCACTCATGTGTTCTTTGAAGGAGTAGTTAGCAAGCACCTGCACCGGCCAGATAGGGAGCTTGGCTGCAGTGGCTGCAGGTGGAAACACATGCAGAAAGAGGCAAGGCGGAGGAGGTAGAGGGCTGATCAGGGAGGCCCATTAGCCGGACTCTCTCCTCTCCCCTCCTTCCTGCCTTCCCCTCCCATCCTCCTCTTCCCATCTCTCCTCTCCTCACTTTCCCTCTCCTCTCCTCTGTCTTCCCCTCCCCTCTTTTATTTCCTCTCCACCCCTCTTCTGACTTTAGTTGTAATAACAGCAGTTCTTTAGTGATGGGCCCTAAACAAGATTCCAACATCTCTCCCGTGAGAGTTCCATTTCTACATTTCTGGCAAGCACCATTTCCATCACAAGCAAGACAACTTCTGGAAGGTATCCCTCCCCTTCTCCCCAACATGTAGATGGACCTCTCTTCCTCCAGGGAGAATTGTAAGTTTTCAAGAGAGTAGGAACTTAGAGGCTAAACAATCTAGGTATTTTCCTAAAAATTACAGAGACATTTAAGCATATCACATGGACAAGACTATGGAGTTCACTTGCTTGTCTTGTTTGTGTTTTATTTGTCTTTATGCACATTTTTACAACCTTACTGGCAATCTTTTTTTTTTTCTTTTTTCTTTTTTGATTGCTGATCCTGGGCCCGAACTTAGGGCCCAGGCCCTGTCCTGGAGCTTTTGTGCTCAAAGCTACACTTCTGGCTTTTTGGTGTTGAATTGGAGCTAAGAGTCTCATGGACTTTCCTACTTGGCCGCAAGGCTTCAGACCAAGATCCTCAGATCTCAGCCTGCTGTATACTCTAGCTGGGATTACAGGCACGAGCCTCTGGTTCCTGGAAATCCTTTATTATTATCTTTTTGTTAGTTGACTTTGATTTGTTTTGAATCCACCTGTGCAAAGTCAGACAATCATATAACAAATGAGTGTTTCCTATTTTGCTAATCCTGAAGTAGAGGCCGGTCTGCCTGGGTGTGTTGACGTTTCCTAGGCTACCTTATAAATTTGGGTGGTCATAGATATCTAGATTCATTCCCTGGTCGACCACAGCTTCCAGTTCACACTCACCCTGTCCACCTGTTCTAGAGCAATTTGTCCAGCAGACATGTCGCTGCAGACATGCCTCCCTCAGCAGTCTTTGCTGTCCCAGAGGACAACCCTACCTTGACCTCCGTGTACCAACTGGGTGCTCAAGGAATGATGTTTCCTATTTCCTTCAGAATCATATGAAGTCTGGCTAGAGTCTCCTCCACCACCCGGTGTTGAGCCAGTCTCTGGACACTCCTCAGTCACTGCCAAGGAGGCCTCACTCCAGAGTGTGGTCCCTGGTTCGTTCACGTGCCATGCTTCTCATGGGAATAGTTGGAATATCTGGGCTACACAGACAGTCTGGCCTTTCTGTTCCAGGCTGGTGACTAGTGGACTGGATCCTGCTGACCTTTGCCTCCTTCCCAACTTCTCAGCTCACATATTTCCTCTAGGATCTGAAAAACACCTTCTGTTTCTCCAAGTCTGGCAGCTTGGGTGTTTAGAAGGCATGAGAGTCATGAAGTTCGTGATGGAAAGCGACTTCAGATTTTTATTTTTAAATTGTGTGTGTGTATGTGTGTGTGTGTGTGTGTGTGTGTGTGTGTGTGTGCTGGTACTGAGGTTTGAACTCAGAAACTGGGTGCTGTCCCTTAGCATTTTCATTCAAGGCTAGTGTTCTACCACTTGAGTCATAACCTCACTTCCAGCCTTTTGCTGGTTGGAGAAATGGGTCTCATGGACTTTTCTTGACCAGGCTGGCTTTGAACCATAAGCCTCCAATCTCAGCCTCCTGTGTAGCTAGGATTACAGGCAGGAGCCACCAGTGCCTGGCTTTGAGTTTTGTTGTTAAAATCACCAAGTGCCATTGGCTCATGCCTATATAATCCTATGTACCCAGGAGATTGAGATCTGAGGTTTGAGTTCAAAGCCAGCCTGGGCAGGAAACACCATGAAACACATCTCCAATAAACTGCCCAGAAATCAGAAGTGGAGCTGTGGCTCAAGTGGTAGAGTAATCAAAGCTCAGGGATAGCATCTAGGCCCTGAGTTCAAACCCTAGGACCAGCACCAAAAAACAAAATCACCAAAGAAAAGAAATGCTAAAGACTTATTCCTTGTCTGAAAATAAGATCAAAGGTGCCTGTGGCTTACACCTGTAATTCTAAATCCTAGCTACTTTGGAGGCTGAGATCTTTGGATTGCAGTTTGAAGCCTGTCTGGACAGAAAAGTCCATGAGACTCCTATCTCCAATAAACTACTTAGAAAAAGCCAGGCGTGGTACCGTAGCTCAAGTGGTAAAATACTAGCTAGCCTTGAGCAAAAAGAAGCTCAGGCCCAGAACTTGAGCCCTAGGATCAGAAAAAAAGAGACAATAGAAAAGATTAAATATAAATAAATATTTAGGGTTTCTTTTTGGTGTTTGTTTGCTGGAACTACAAAGCATTAACACTCAATGCTTGCTAGACAGACACTTTGCAGCTGAGCCATGCCTTCAACCCTTGTTTTTCTTTTCCCAACACTTTTTCAAACTGGTTATTTTTCCTGGATTTGTGCCAGGACCATGACCCTCCTATGACACTTCTTACCTTACCACCACACCCAAGTTCTTTTCATCCAGATGGAGTCTTTCAAACATTTTAGCCAAGGCTGGCATGGAATCACAATGCTCCCAATCTCAGCCTCCCCTTGTAGCTGAGATGACAAGTGTGAATTACTGTGCCCCTTCACAAAAGGGATCTTGTGAACTTTTGGCCTGGGCTAACCTTGACCTAAAGTCCTCCTGATCTCAGCCTCCTAAGTAGCTAAGATCACAGGGATGAGCCTCTGATGCCCACCCAGTTCCACAGGATTATCTTGCTGTGGGCTCTCAAACTGCCTCTTGTACACACCACTTGGAACTTTACAAAGGGAAGAGGTCAAACCACACAGAGACTCATCAAAGAAAGAGAACTATAGACCCATTTCTTTGATGAATATTGATGCAAAACTTCTCAACAAAATTTTGGCCAATTGACTTCAACAATTCATCCAAAAATTATACACCACGATCAAACAGGATTCATTTCAGGGATGCAAAGCTGGTTCAATATACGCAAATCAATTAATATTATTCATCACATCA